CAATCACCAGAGACTGAGAACACAAGACATTCCGTGAGAAAACCAAATTTAAATATTACCTATCCACAAATCCAGCATTACAGAAAGTGCTAGAAGGAAAACTCCAACCCAAGGAAGTTAGCTGCACCCACAGAAACACAGGCAACCAGTAATCTCACAGCTCACAGAAGCTGTCCTTGAGATTCTTGACTGCTGCTTAAGCTCAGCAACGTATTTACATTCCAACATTAACCTCCTTGGGTTTACTCTCTGCTCTAACAATTCGTTATTCTTCTTTAGATTAATATTTTACCTACGCCTTTCCAAAATTATTTTTTGATAGTCTTTTTTTTTTCTTAGCACTCACATTTTTCCATCCTTTGTGTGTGGACAGGTTATGTGTACATAGGTAAAGCTTTGCAGTCATTATCTGTGATTCTAAATCTTGTTTATCAACTTGATGAGGTTTGAAATCACCTGGAAGGCACATATTGGGGTGTGGTTTTGAGGCGCCTTCTAGAGAGGTAGTGGCACCATTTCAGGGGCAGAGTTCTGAGACTGAATAACAAAGAAAACCGGAAAATGGAGTTTAGGACTAGCTTTTATCTCATCTGTATCCTGACTGTGGATACAATGTGGATACAATGTAGATACAATGTGGATACAATGTAGATACAATGTGGATACAATGTAAATACAATGCGGATACAATGTGGATACAATGTAGCCCGTTATCTCAGGTGCCTGGCTCTGAGATTCTCCGCAATGCTGAACGATGCCCTTAAACTGTGAGTTTAAATCCACCCTAATTTCCTTCTTTGGGTTGCTTTTTTCACAGCTATGGAAAAAGTGACTAATTTAGAAAATGATATGGTTACGGTTGGGCATGTTTAGATCTAGGGAGAGTTTACAGTTTATCTCTATATAATAAAAAGATGAAATTGAGACACCAAGTATTTTAGAGAGAGAGAAGGGAGAATAAAAATAAAATATTCATCAAATAAATAACAGCCCCAGTTATTGCTTGTTTACTATGATGTGTTCTTGGAACTGTTCTAAAGTCTTTAGGTCAATAAGTTAGTTAGTTTTGACATTCATACTGAGGCAGACACAATTATTATTATCTTATAAATATACACAATAAGATAAAAGCAACCAATATGCATCACTCCCCCATACACAGCCCCATCGGGTGATCATCAAGATATGTTTCACAGTTCAATAATACACCAAAACAATCCCATGAAATCTAGTAGCGATTGTAATTGTCATCCTCCCGACGCAGACGAGCACACAACAGCGCACAGATGTCAAGTGGCGTGTGGATATGAGGAAGCCTGTAAGCATTGGGCTAGCATTAGAGGCTTTAGTCTGCCTCTCCGGGGGTAGTGGAACTGATGTTTGCATTCCTGTCCCTAGGATCCAGAGACTGTGCACTGCCACTGCCACACTACTGTCTTACAGACAAATGTTTTGGGTCGAATTATTAAAGTTTGAGATTGCAAGAAACTTCAAAAATGACCGCTTTAAGAAAACTCTCTTTTGCCTTCAGTTTTAAAAATTTCCTCTAAAATATCAGCCATTTTCTTGGAAGCTCTGTGGGATTAATCCTAACAGAGGCTATCTGCCCCGGAAGTGACGTGTTCCGTCTTTAGGCGATTTTATTAGACGTGCTAGATGCATCTCAACTCCTTTGGGGGATGAGCTTTTGCTCTGAACTCACAAGACCCGAGTTTATTTTGTTTCCCTCACTGGATCCCATTCAGCACAAAAGGGAATAAACATTTAACTGCTTGATCAGTTCCATATCCAACAGCATTCTATGCTTCCTGGCAATCATAGGCTCTGTCCTTTTGTGCAAGTTAACGTACACGTTTCTCTCCTCAAGAAGCATGTTTCAGAGGTGTGCTGAACAGCCTAAAATACAGTAGGACTAACGCTTTCCCTCTAATGCCTGGAGATGTTGCAGGAGGTTGGTGTGATGAATGTTCTGGATTGTCAAGCTTGATGGGTTTTAGAGCCACCTAGGAGACATATTGTCTGGGAATATCAGAGAGGGTACTTCCAAGACGTACTCGGAAGTGGCACAGTACAGTCTCTAGTGAGTTGTTTAGTTTTTACATGAGGTGTCAGGGGACTGAGATGAATGATAACACACCACACACACACACACACACACACACACACACACACACACACACACACAAAGAGTGAGCAGAGCGCCAACATTCACCTGGGTCTGTTTCCTAGCTGCAGAATGCCTGCCCCGCCATTATGGGTGACATCACTCAAACCATGAGCCAAGATAAATTCTTCTTGTCTTCACGAGCTTTGATTATCTGTTTTTGTCACAACCTGGAGAAAATGAATTATCACAACCAGAGCTAAAAGGCTGGATGCGGGTGTGAGAGACATCCCAGCAGTTAAGAGTGCAAACTGCTCTTCAGAGAACCGGAGTTCTGTTCCTAGCACCTGAGTGTGGCAGCTTGCCACAGCCCGTGCCTCCAGCTCCAGAGGGTCTGACACCTCCTCGTGGCTCAGTCCACGAGAATGGGAATCCGCACACACACACACATATGTGCACACAGCTACACATATATACAGAAAAAATTAAAAATTAAAAGCAACTCTCTTTCGAGGATAGTGGCTGAACTCTGCTATCTAGCTTTAGTTTTCTAACAAAATCAATTTGGACAGATTTCCCCAACTCTCTAGGTTCCCGTTTCCTTCTTGATCAAACATGAATAACATATGTGCCTTCTTTGTTGAGTTACTAGAGGATTAAGTATAATCACCGAGTTAGACACGGAGAAAATTGCCTGCTGGGTAAGCCTGAAATCAGAAACCATATATACTATTAGTTAAAAATGGGAGGTTTGCTATGTATAGACGTTGACACAGTAAAGAAGAGGTTTAGTCTACTTTCTCAAAGGACTTCCACTTAAAATTCGATTTCATATTTCTTGTGAATTGACCTATGGTTGCATTGGACTCTGGAAAGCCATAAATCATGTCACGCCATGGGCGCATAATTGGATATCAAGGGAAAACCCACGAGCTGCTTCTGGGAAACGGGATCTTTTCTATTCTGTTCCACCCCAATTTAGGCTATTCAGTCACATCTTTTGGACTCATGATCGGGTTTTCTGGAGAACCGCTCTCTGCCTCTGTGCGTTACGTGCACACGAGGAGCCTTCCTCTGAATCATTCACAAGGTCACTGATCAAACACGCGGAGGAGCGGAGCCTGGTTCAGAGCCTGCGGCCATCAGCTAGAGCACTCCGTTCTGGGAGTCATTGGCTCAGTCAGAAAATCACCTAGCCGTACTCACTCACAATATTGCTTAATTTTGTTAATAAGACACTGTAGGAGATATCTGAGGGAGGCTTATCTAGATCCAAATGTCTGTTATCAATTTATGGCATTGCCCGCCTGGTAATCCCAAGTCAGTTTTTGGAAGATGGAAGAACTAGACTTATCGAAGAGCAGTTATTCTCAGAGAACCCTCATAACACTGGTAATTACCGCCTTCGCTGAGGGTTCTCGGAGGCCTCCTGGAGACTCAGTTATATAATCCAAAAAGGTATTAATGGTAACTCGCTGTCTGTACCTGGAGACATGTCTCTGCTTCATTTTGAAAGTGAAGCCTTCATTTTTTCTTTTTAATTTCTGTCATCAAACCCTTCACCACAGCAACTACGGAGGCAGGCCAGAACAGGTCAGATGTTACCTTTAGAAATTCTGAGTTTTGAGGTTTCACTTCTCAAGGTCTCCCCACTCAGTGTGTTTACTGAGACCCCCCTCAAGACCACCAGTGTGCTAGGGATCACGCTGCCTCATGTTCCTCTGGCCCTCTCCAGTCAGAACTCTCACTGGGGAAAAGCTGGAAGCACAATCTGGTGTTATATCACGTGGGCTTGGTTTTGTTTTGTTTAGCTTTGTTTGTCTGCTCGTTTCTTCTTTAGTACCTTTGCATTGATGCCACTTCTATTCTTTAGGACTCTAGTTTTCCAGATTGTTCTCCTAGGTCTGTTTCTTTAAACATAGACCATTCTTTTGTATGTCCAATCAAAAGTTTTTTTTATAATTAAATTCTGAATATTTATCAGTGCCAGGTACTATTCCGGGTATTGAGCATACAATAGTGAAGGACACACACACACACACACACACACACACACACACACTTCCCTTTACTTGTAGTCTATTCTCTGCTGCACGTCCTTTTTAGTGAAGTTGTCCCTGCATTTTCCCCACCTAACGACGTTTTCCTTTCATTATGACAAGCTTTGGGTACATGAGCATCATTCTGCCCTTCTGAGTTGTCCCTTTGTAAGGCTATTTTAAAAATGCTCTGTATATAAGGGTTCCCCGGTATTAATGTATGTGCTTGGTACTAGAAGTCAAAGGAGCCTGTCAGATTCCTGTGGGCTGTAGTTATAGAAGATTGTGAATCACCCTATGGGCTCTGGTAAGCCAAACCAGGTCCTCTGCAATAGCAGCAAGTGCTCTAACCACTAAGCAATCCCTCCAGCTCTTTGAATTATCTTTTTATTAGTCTTGGAGTCTTGGTGCTATGGTCTGTTTTTCTGGGATATCATTATCATCGTTGGGAGTCTGAACGCTTATGTCTGTATCTAGCTGTTTCTTATAGCGTTTCTCTCCTGTGATGTTTCTACAGTGCTAGCAGAGTAGAAGAGAATTTGGGATCAGTAGGCTGTGTTCTCATTTCTGCTTATTATGATTTATTTATTTATTTATTTATTTATTTATTTTCTTTTTAGAGACAAGATCACATGCAGATCAGGATGGTCTCAAACTTGCTATGCAGCCGAGGGCCATATCTTTTGTATGGTTCCATTGTCGGGCGTGGTTATTTTTTCGTGGACTTATTATAACACAAAATATTTGCCAACTCCAAAAAGCTTTAGTTAGTACATAACAAGCGGCATTTTAGCTGATTTCTCTCTTCTGCATGTGGTCATGTTTTATTGATGATTTAAAATGCTCTTGTCTTCTAGGACTAACCTGATACTGGTCTGTGGCATCCTTGCCGTGTGGACGTGGAGTATGCTACAGTTTCCGCTGGACCTGGCAGGTAAATGTATTCATATTTACGTAAAGAAACAAAAAAGTATGACTCTTAAATATAAACCACATGAGCACGAAGGAGTCAGTGTTAGCTCTACTGTAACTTAGAAGGAAGGTAGGTTGAAATTCAGGAAAGCCAATTGTAGACCCACCTTGGTGTGTGGCTGAGTTTAAGATACATGAGTATAGCCAAGTACGGTGGTGTGTTCATTTAAGCCCAGCACTCTAGTGGCGGAGACAGGAGGAGCAGAAGTTCAAAGTCATCCTAGGCTATACAGCAAGTTTGAGGTCAGTCTGGTCTACGTAAGATTTGATTTCAAAAAATAAAAAATAAATAAATAAATAAATAAATAAATAAATAAATGAAACAACAAAAAAACAAACCCCAAAATTAATAATGATAAGTGCTTGAGCTGTTGACTGTGTTGTTTTATATCTGACTCCACTAATACTTCTATTATTCATTATCTGTAATCCTGCCAAAATTTATTAAGATATGTGTCTCAGTTTTTCACCTGTGAAATGGGATGATACTCACAGTATCATATATTATTACGACTCAATAATATAGCGAGTGTTTAGTGACCTGGTGATGTGCGGCCTCCATATTCCCAGCCAGTCACAGTGTGAGATGTCACATCCAAGGTAAGAGGTGCAGTTCCGAGCCCCGTGTGGAAAGTTATGATTTCCTTTAATGGCAGCCCTTATTCTGACTTTACTGAATACATCAGCCTTTAAGGGTGGGAAAGAAGTAAACCGTTCGACAGGAATGCCATGATACTGACTTCCTGTAGCTGCGCTGTCCTACCAGCGGTACCCACCAGCCACACATAGCTGGATGGCTTGATATTCAGTAAAGGTTAAGGAGCGACTTTTCAGTGACGCTGGCTGTATTTCACCTTCTCCCTTGCGGCATGTGGCTCGCATGCTGGGCAGCAAAGATGTGAAAAAGTCTTAGCATCATAGAGAGCTCTGTGGAATGGTTGCTGCTTGGACTCACACTGTGACTCTGTTGGTTTGCTGGAAATATGACTTGGCAATTCTTGTCCTTGGTTCGTTACTCTCGAGGAGGCCCAGACTTTAATGGTTCTCTTTTCCTCATGTATTTCTTTATCATCCTGCTGGCTTCAGGGTGAGACCAAGGCAGAATACATAAATTTGGGAGGTCTGCATTAATAGACTCAGAGGTCTTCCGAACGCTCTAGATCTTAAGCTCACACTTTCTTGGATAAAATTGTTTCCTAGATAGATGGCAGGAGTTGCCAGACTTTTTTTTCAAATTAGAAAAAGAAAAAGGTTGGGCATGGTTGGGCAGAAGAGCCAGTGAATTCTTCTAGAACCCTGAACACGAGGGGGGGTTTGCAGATCTCTGGGTTGGGGCCAGCCTGGTCTACTTTGTGTCTTCTAGGCCAGCCACAGCTACATATTGAGATCCTTTCTCAAAAAGAAAAAAAAAAAAGAGGAAAATACCAATCCAATTACAGATTAATAATCACAAACAAATATATGCAAACAGCATGCAGCTGTTTTGCTGAAGTCTGCCTTAGGTACATGGTGCTCGTTACCCAGCTAGAAGCCAGCCAGCTGCTCTTCATAGACTCCAGGGCTCCATCCTTTATACCCTGGGAGGAGGAGGTCCACCAGGAGGGATTCCCTGAGCATGGCTTCTCAAGAAAGACACTCGCTGACCTTCAGTGTGTCTTTCCTTTGTCATTCGCTCGCCCTCTCCTGTCTTGTGGTTCGCAGACTTGCTAAGAAAATTTTTATTTAAGAAAGAAACTGTGTAAACGTTAAGAGGTGATAACGCTACGCAGCTGTTTGGAAAACAAAGACCAAATGTCACTTCTGACTACACTGCCATTGTATTCTCCAACAAGTAGGACACTGTGCTCAACCCGATCAAAGTCGCTTCATATTTGCACGCCCTTGCTGGATTGAGACATCCTTTGTTGGAGAACTCCAAAAGGAAGGCTTTATTATCACAAAGAGGATTATTTTCTACCCCTGACCCTGAATTAAATTTACATCTTTGAAATTAAAACAAAAGTTTCATCTGTTGATGGAGTCTCCTTTTGTTCAACTAACACACACACACACAAACATCTGCAATTATTCTCAGTCTTGCTTATAAACTGGGAGACAAAAGCAGAAGGAACGAGGACAAAATAGAATAATGGCCATTATTATTTGAGCTCCCACACCAGACACACGCCATCACCAACACAGAAAAATTATGTTTAATGTGAGTTCAATTTAAATTTGAATTCTAAGCACTTGAGTTGAGTGAAATATGGGAATAGGGGCCATGCTAGGGAAAGCATCCTGGACGGTCTGGCTGGGGACTCTGCCATTCATATACTGTCCTTACCAGTCAAGAAAGTCCCTCATTCCTCCAGGAAGACTGAAGGAAGAAGCAGAGAGCAGAAAAAGAGACAGGGTGCTAGTCCAATAGAAAGAAGATGTGTAAAAGATCGATTTACACATCTATTCCTAAGAAGTTGATGAATAGAGACCTAGGTTTTAGGAGTCAGGCTCTTTGGCATTTCAAGGGAGAACCCGACATGCCTGTAGGTTATGCAACATGGCCAGTATCTCAGTGCTAGACAGAGAGGCAACCAGGGGTAGTACCAGGCTCCCTGACTTGAGAACCCCCGAAGTACAGACAGGTCTCTGCTGCCTCTGCAGACCCCCAAACACACACATAGCAGTTTCCTTTGTATCTTATGCTCTTCGGTCTGTTTAATTGGTCATTCCCTATGGGAAGGTCTGGGAGATGTTGCAAGGCCTTTAAAGTGGATGGAAGCACAGGGCCAGGAAGTGGAGGGCTGAGGTGGAGAGACATCTCCCCGCTTCCTCCCAGGCCTACACTGCATAGACGCTCTCCGTCCTTCACAACCAGACCATTGATATAGATGTCTATTCCTGTCTTTCACCTCAGAATGTTAATTGTTGTTTCTTTCATTCTCCAGTCCAGCTGAAACTGGTATGCCCCTCTTCTGTGAAAGCCAGGGGCTTCCTCAGGCTCTTCCTGTGCCAGTACAGTGCAGATCTATGGGCCATCGGGCTCAGCTTCTTCATCCAAGATGGTCCCTTCCTTGTGGTGCGCCTCGTCCTGATGATCTACTTCCGAGTGATCAACCACATGCTGGTGTTCTTCGCCGTGAAAAATTCCCTGGTGATGGCGCTGCACTTCTATCGGCTGGTGGCTTTGATCATGGCCACCCGGGCTTCCATGCAAGATGGTCCAGAAAGGCTCCAGGCACGGCCCAGTGTCCTAGACCAGCCCTCTGAGAGCAGTCCCAGTGAGTGGGAGGACATCTCCAGGGAGGCCGTGCCTTTGCAAACCTCACCTGTCACCTCTGAGGAGTCCTACCCCATACCTTAGGTGCTTGTTCCCCTTATACAGCCAGGAACTTAACTCATTTTCTCTTGAGAGCCTGGTTCTCTTTCTACTCCACCCCCACCCAATTTTCACTACAACAGCTTTTAAGGAAACAACATGAACAAATGATCTTGTATTACAGGCAACTTATTCTTTAATTTTCATCTGAATGGAAGAAACTTTGACGCATGCCTACTGTTACAACCTCCTACCATGGTAGCAGACATTACCCAACTCTGAGAACCACTCGTAAGTGGTTGGTTCTCATGGAACTGTTGGAAGGTTGTAGACAGGGCTGTCATGGCACACCTTCCAAAGATTTAGGGCTGACAAGTACCATCCCCACCATCAACCCTCTAGGGTGATGTGGTTATACAGAGCCTTTAACTGTGGTGGGACCGTCACAGTCTCTCATCTGGTGTTCTCATCTGGTGTCTCTCTGATGTGTATATATACACATTGAACATATATTGAACAAATTGGGGAACATGCTTTTAAAATGAGCTTGCAGTGAGGTGGAAGCTTGGAATTTGAGCTGTCCAGTGTTCGGTGAAAAATGAAATAGCCACGGTAGCTTCACAGTCCCACCAAGGAATATCCTTCTTCTGGACCAATGCGGTATTCTGCCATGGTACATATGTTCTTAGAGAATAGTGACAACTTCGGGCTTGGGTGTGCATAAAGTTGACAGCAGGCCATTTAGGTTCGAATAGCAAGGTAGTTCGCTTTTTCTGCATTGTCAAAGTGAATCCCATGACCAGGTTCCAGGGAGCTCTGGCATGCTGTGATGGAGGCGTTTGTGGCCTTTAGTGTTGCTATGGTTTCCGGCGGCTGCCACTGCAGGAGCAGCACCAGTAGAAGACTGAGCCTCAGCTCCCGAGAAATATGGTCCCTGGTTTGAAGAACAAGGTGATGGACAGTGGTGCCAGCCACATGCACGGGGCCTCCATTGATGCTGAACATCACCACAAGGCACCCCAACACATCTTGGGGATCATGGTGGCTTTGTTTCCCGTGCCTAAAATAGTCTTGCTCTTCCTTTAAACGTGTCTGGACATTCTGGGTTGAAATGATTCCAAACCTTTGAAAGCAGCTCTTGTTCTTACGTATGTGGTGAGAACTGGGTGTGGCAATCTAGCAGACAACTCTAAAACTGTACTGGAGTTCAAAGCATCAATCAATCCACACTAGCGTTCCCAGGAACTCTGAGTCACTTATTCAGGGGACTTCCTAAACTGGACGTGACCATTAGATGATCAGTTGGGACATTTGTTTCTAAAGTATGAATTTCTGGTACGGTACAGTATTTATCTACCACGTTTGATAACATGTTTTATAAACAAATTCTATTTTGTACACAATCACAACTGTTTTCTAGTAATTTCTACTTCTTTGATTTCCTGTGCTTCCCACTTTAGCAGTGTCACCGTGTAAACTGTGCGGGAAACAAGTGGAATGCACTCGTAACTTTTGATAATAATTGTATGCAAGTTAAGATTGTGTTTATATCAAGTAGAGAATGCGACGGCTTTGAAGGTATATTATTTAATTAACATTCTTAGCAATGAGACTTGAGGAGATGTCTCAAGGTTAAGAGCAGGTACTGCTCTTGCAGAGGACTGGGGTTCATCCTAACACCCACACCTCAGGGCTTGTAATGTTCTCTTCTGGTATCTGAGGGCACTGACTATGCTCATGCACACACACACACACACACACAATAAATAAAAATATTTTTAAAATAAAACACTCAGCAATAAGATGCAGAAAGGGAAAAGGTAATAATACCTGAAATTTGTCAAACCACCTCAGCCTTCTCTTGCTGTGCTGCCTGCTTTGCCTTGAATCCCTTCGCCCATGACATGTATGGGCCTCTCCTTACTGCTTATCTGCCCACAGTGTATTTTTATGGGATTTATCTTTTTTCCCCAGAAAAACAAACACTGAGCTTCTAAAAATAGAGCATAAAGTAGTATGACTATTGCAAGGATATTTTTAAGTGCTTTCAAATCTGAGGCTTGGCTTGGTTCCATGAAAGACTTTCTAGCGTTTAAATAAAAGTATTTTGTAATTAGCCCTCCCTCCTCAGGCCTGTCCAAAATCTGGCTTAACTTAGAATGCCAGGAAGTCAGAGAGCACCCAGGACCGGCTTGGTAATTAATGGATGGTCAAAAATAGACACGCAGTCTTCAAGGCTTTTCCAGGAAAATCTGCTAAAGGCAGCATTTAACCTAACTGCCAGTGGTTTCCAGTTCCTTACGCTGGCTGCTTTGATCATAGCGAAAATGTCTGTTGCTTAGTCTACGTTTTATCTCTGATAAAAGCTAAGAAATGTATTCAGTTAGTTGTGTGTTTGTAATTATTACTATTATTTTACCCTTTAAAATTGTACGTTTTTATCGTAGGTTGATGCACATTGTAAATTTTTTTTTTAGATCTCCAAGTGCTAGTCATCCACTGAGCACACCAGTCGTCTCCCACAAGTCGGCATCCTGAGACGTGTTTACCTTTTCTCTGTAGAGAGAAAGCTTACATCGTGTAGGAAGCAGAGTCCACCCTCTGCCCCCAGCCACAGTGCACACTAAGCCCCAATCCCTGAGGAGGAGGGGGCTTCGCTTGCAGTTGCTGGAGCCGTTGCTGACTGGTTAAAGCTCAGACAAATCTCCTTCCTACAGACGTGTTCCTCCACTTGTGGGAAAGCCCAGTGTCTGTGTTTACATGACGCTCTGTGTGAACACACCTCAGGGTCCTCTTAGGCCTTCTCCAGAGTGACTGAGTCTTAAATGCCACAATACTGTCTAATGCTTAAGACAAGCATACAGCTCTGTGTTTGGTTATTCTGCCAAGTTCTGTTGCAGCTATAAATGACGGTGTTGGAAATGCCGAGCCTGGAACTGATGAATAACATGGGACGCATTCAGGGAGAAGTCTAAGGGAATTCTGCCCCTGGCTCTGTTGTCCTACCACAAAGCGCTTCAGCGGCCATGAAGATGTGTCCAGACAGCGATGGGATCACTACTATCAGCTCACTTCCTTATTCGACAGGAGCCATTTGGAGCCCTGGGAAGGCATGCCTCACAGGTGTGAACCCTTTAGAATCGCCACGATTCGGAATCCAGCGCGGACTCTACTACATCTTGGGTACTTAGCATCAAGAACTCTTAATCAGATTCTCCTGGAGAAAGAGAGAACCTATAGAGACGAGGCCTGCCGACCTCCAGTCCACTCTGAGATTCCTTAAAATAGACGTTACAGCCTCGGAGATCAAACAGCCTTGAATTGTGAGATAAAAAGACACCGTTAGTCCTTTTGCTGTCTTCTAATTCTAGGTTTCGCTTTTCACTTGTGGGAACTTTTGATCTGTTCTCAGACATACCTGATGAGGGTTAGACCAGGCAGCTGGGGCTCCACATAACTTTCAGCATGGCAGAACAGCTGGATAGTGGCAGAGGAATGAGTCGCCATGGCCTTCTACTTTATCAGTTTTTATCTTTGAGGTCTTTTTTTTTTAATGAAAGGCGTGTGAGTGTATTTTCTGTGAGTATTTCTATATTTTGTTAGACATGTCCTTCTTGTTTTATTATAGACATTAAATGCTTGTGTACATCTTCCTCCCATTGCCTTTTTTTTTTTTTTTGCCTACTTTGTGTGTTTCTCTACTGTAACTCATTTCCTTCATGGTTTTTAAGCCCTGGCTTAATAACTAAAACTGATCTGTTTAGAACATGATTAAAGTGGCATTTCCAAGCAGCGAGCGGAGAATGACCAATTTCATAACTGATGTCGGAAAATGTTGCTATCCATCTGGAAAACATAAAGCGGAATTTTTATCTCATGAAGTCTATAGAAATAAATTCCAGATGGATTAAATCTCATTGTAAAATGAAAACTATAAATATTGGATGGAAATACGGAATGTGTCCTGAGCATGTGGGGGATGGGCAACTTTCTCTGAAGCAAGACCCCAAACCCAGAAACGATTGACTGACAGACTTTTCTATATGAAGCCTTCACTTTTCTGTGTGGCAAATTGTGTCATGAACATACCAGTTGGAAAAAAAAGAGAAAAAATAAAAACCTGGTACAGGCAAGAAATAGAAGGGTAGATATTGAGAAGGAAGAACTGAAGGTGTATTTATCTGGAAAAGACTGAGCATCTAAAAATTACTAAGACCAATAGCGTGCACAAGCAAGGAACACGCAACAAACTTTTGAGCAGGTTTTCCTGACACTATGAATTAAGGCCTTAAAACATGTAAGTTTGAACTTCAGAATTTAAGGAAAGTTTCCGATGATGCTGAGAGTCATAAATGAGTAAGTTACTAAATAGACATTCTACTGGGTGATAATATGAGGCACCGACAATTTAAAGAATCAAGTTCTCTTAAGTTCATCTGTAGACCATCTTTCATTGTGTTATTAATAAGATCCTTTTTGCATGTATATATTGTGTGTACCATGCATGCGTGTGTGTGTTCAAAAGTGTGAGCATGTGTGAAAGACATCACAGTTATCGGACGTCTTCCTTAGTTGCTTTACACATTTTATTGACTAAAGCAGGATCTTGCCAGGAACCCAGCACTAGCGAATTCAGTCAGTCCAGCCAGCCAGTTTTCTTGTTTCTGCCTCCCAGCACTGGGATTACCAATTGCCTGCCATAGAGGAAGGCATGTTCATGTATCCCAGGGATTCAAATTTTGCTTCTCGCTCTTATAGGGCAAGTGCCTTACTCACTGGACCATCCCCCAGCTCTAAGACATTAATTTCTAGTGACTACTATTGATTTTAACAACAAGTCTTGCATTCTAGTGACTACTTCTTTTGCTAGAATATTTTCTAATGAAATAAGCACAAGAAAATAGCCGGAACGTGTTTTTAACAGACAAATGAGAGAGTGATTTCAGTAATACTTAACTACATTACACAGTTACAATAGGCAAGAGAATTTGGTTCTGTCATATGAACAGACATGCCAAAAATTTGAATGGAATAAAATCAATAAATATGCTGAACTATGTAAGGGATTTGACTACATGATAAATCACAGGCCAAAGAAGTAGAATATTATGAATAGTTTAGGTTTTGTAAAATATTAAATTGGATCTTTACTTCAATCCATATGTTGAAAATACTTCCAGATGGATCAAGTGATTAAAGATTTAAAGTAAAAGAGAGAGAGAGAGAATGATGCTTTTGTACTTAAAATGGCAAGAATGACTTTTTAGTAAGACATAAAGCAAGGATGCAGAGGGGAGTCACACAGCGGCTCATGGAAAATTACACATCATAAGAGCATCCTAAGCAAAGAAAGCTGAACAACAAACTAGGTCAATAGAAAAATAAAACAATTAACTGGGTGCATGGGCTTGCAAGAAGTATACCTAAACATGAGTTTTTCAAGGGAACAAACAGCTCTCACAAATAAGAAAAAAAAATGTAAAATGTCACTGAAAACCAAAAACATAAGCAAAGGACTTAGCATATGATTCAATGCAGAGAGAATCAAGTCGTGAAATAAAACCACAATCAAATGCCATTTGTCAAACGAAACCTGAACCGTAAGCAAGAATTTTTCACATGTTGTACAGAAAAGGAGGCCACATGTCTTTGCCTGCACTGCAGTAGGAGGAGGCTGGGAGAAGTAGGTGCCACTCCCCATGGGCAGTGAGGGTCCACACCTGTTCTCTTTGGTGACAGAGATGAAAATTAGTATCTGTGATCGGACCTAGCAACTCACAGTCTAAGCAACCACCCTATGATTGTACGTGAAAGCCGGCAGTCCCTGGAGTAAGAGATAAACAATGGGAGTGTGATACCCAATCAAGTTTACAAAGACTGAGTGATCTAAAATCATTGGTAGGAAAAAAAAACCACTTAGAGATTTTGTTCAAATTAAGGATGGATGTAACTTTGTGTGTTGCTGTTTTGTGTTATCAACATCTTCCTTTGAAAAATAACTCATTTTAAAGATGATAGACGTTTCCGTCTCAACTTTTATGGCTTTATGAAAGATTTATTTATCGTTATTAAGTGTATGATTTTTCGTTTTGCCTGCATGTTGCATGGGCACCATATGCATGCAGTACCTGTGGAAGCCAGAAGAGGGTGTCAGATCCCATGGTACTGCAGTTGCAGATGGTTGCTGGGAACCAGGCCTGGTCCTCCACAAGGGTAGGAAGGGCTCTTAGTAGATGAGTCATCTCTTCATCTCTTATGCTTTTTGCAGTTTAGGTTTTAGAAATTGACAATTTTTTTCCATACATTATAAAAAAAAAGCAATTACCAAGGAAATCTTGCTACTGCATAAATTTTACAAGAATCTTCTCTTCTGTATAGAAACATTGATATAATTTTATGAAGAAAGTAGCAATCATTTCTTTTTAGCCCAAGAAAACAAAGGCCTTACCATTGTAACCAAGAAAACAAGAAAAAAAAATCCCATAAAACACTTGATAAATCAAGGACTTAGACCATATCCAATTCTGCTTGCCTCATGGAGTATTGAATACACCAGAAATGAAATCACGAATAGATCTATAATAGCCCAGAAAAATCAAACTGACTAAAGGATACACTTGGTCCCCATTGACAAACATCACAGAGACGGTGTTGTAATTACTAGTCTGACAAATCCTTACCCTCTGACATTTGTGGAGCCACCAAAACAAACCAGACAGCAATGTAGCTTTCAATTACATAGCAAACCGCATTTTCTGAAGAGAGGCTGAGAACTGAATGGGGCCTCGGGGGGAGCAGGCTTCTGAAAGAATCGATGTGTTTATTTCCAAGTCCGTTTTCACAGCTCATGTATTTCACAGCTGAGTATGGAGTCATTCTTGATTTTGTCAAATATGTGCTGAATGTACAATGGGTTGTGGTGCATGATCTAACAGGTCATATGCAAATCTGACCAAACCATGGAGCCAAACAAAAATCCCTAAGCCAACCATATGTCAGATACCATATAGACTTTGTATCCAATGAAGAGTCTGGGCCAAGGAAAATTGGAACTATAAGGCAAATATGTTTTCTCGGTGGAGACGATGCTCAGTTCCTGCCAATCATGTGGCTGGAAAATTCAGATGGCTGTGGTTCTGGTGCCTTGGGGGTTGTTCCTACCTTCTGGCGAAGAGTGCTGCTCTCTATTACTTAAGGGTTCCCACGTGACCTGAGTGACAGCTGATAGCAGGGTCAAAAGCTGAAATTATGTCATCAGGTGTCTCGATTTCAACTGATTCAGATGAATAGTGGGTTTGACTGGTTTATCTATTTTATCTATTTATTTTGTTTACAGTGTTCTGTCTGCATGTGTGCCTGCAGGCCAGAAGAGGGCACCAGATTTCATTACAGATGGTTGAGAGCCACCATGTGGTTGCTGGGAATTGAACTCAGGACCTCTGGAAGAACAATCAGTGCTCTTAACCTCTGAGCCATCTCTCCAGCCCCTGACTGGTTATCTAAGTCAAAGCGTTTTATAGATGACATGCTTGCTCTCGTCCTGATTGTTCTAGATGTGTCACAGATGCAACACGCACGTTCTGCAAGAATTCACTGGCTCTTCTGCTCAAGTACCCATGGCAGAATCAGACGCACCTATGACCCTTTCTTTCTGTGCTTGCTTCTTCTTCCTAAATAGCCCTCAGTTTTGCAAGGTGTTTCTGTGGTTGTTTCTCCTCCTCCTTTCTCCTGCTATGGATAAATCCAGGGTTTTGTAGAAGAACAAAACTGAGTGAACAAACACATAATACAAAGGGAATTTATTTGATTGCCTTATGAAACACAGGCTGGAGGCTGGGCAGGTCAGCCATGGTTACCTGCCCACTAGAGAGCCAGAAAACTGACAGCTAGTCAGGACATGAGGCTCAATGTCTCAGGAGTTGCAAGGTGCTGCTGGAGGCCTAGCTAGGCATTTCCTTGAGACTCCCTGCTCGTCAGTCTATGTTGGAGGGATGAAGATGCTGGGTTTCTGTGTTGGTGAGGGATAATGACAGTACTAACAGCAACATAATAGATGCAATTCCTGCAAAGAATACAGGCAAGCAGGCAAAAGCTGTCTGCTTTTTTTTTTCAGACATATTTTTACGTGGGCTGCTACCCCAGTGAAGGTGTTGCTTACTCTAGGAGGGTCTTCCCTGTCCCCTTATCCTTTCAGGAAGTAATCTCCCAGAGGGAACCTACTTAGTTGACTCCAGATCCAATCACACATGTCTAAATAACAAAATCAAAGTCTCTAAGATATTTGTAGACATGCTAGTCTGGACCCAATGCTTCAGCTACATTCCACGTCATGGCAAGCTGCCTCTACCCTTCACCAAGAAGCTACCATAGCAAACTTCCTTAAATCTGACACTGTTTTCTACACCATGTCCTGGTAAGCAGAGTTTTTTATTTCTTTGTGTTTTGTTATTGGGGTAAACTCATGTGTAATTGCCTTCTTCTCCCGTGGACAGTCCTAGTGCCCAAGGGAAGAAAGAAACTCAGCAGCCATTCTGCCATCCTGGAACAGAGTCCTCCAGTTTATGAAGTTTGCATTGGATCACCAATGACAGGGAAGATAAAGCAGAAAAGGGGCTGGGACTGCTTACTTATCACAGACCTCAGCTACAGTTTC